TATATATATATATATATATATATATATATATAGTATATATATATATATATAGTATATATATATATATATAGTATATATATATATATAGTATATATATATATATATAGTATATATATATATATATATATATATATATATATATATATATATATATATATATATATATATATATATATATAGTGTATATATATATATATATATATATATATATATATATATATATATATATATATATATATATATATATATATATATATATATAGTGTATATATATATATATATATATATATATATATATATATATATATATATATATATATATATATATATATATATATATATATATATATATATATATATATATATATAGTGTATATATATATATATATATATATATATATATATATATATATATATATATATATATATATATATATATATATATATATATATATATATAGTGTATATATATATATATATATATATATATATATATATATATATATATATATATATATATATATATATATATATATATATATATATATATAGTGTGTATATATATATATATATATATATATATATATATATATATATATATATATATATATATATATATATATATATATATATATATATATAGTGTATATATATATATATATAGTGTATATATATATATATATATATATATATATATATATAGTGTATATATATATATATAGTGTATATATATATATATAGTGTATATATATATATATAGTGTATATATATATATATATATATATATATATATATATATATATATATATATATATATATATATATATATATATATATATATATATATATATATATATAGTTTATGTATATATATATATATATATATATATATATATATATATATATATATATATATATATATATATATATATATATATATATATATATATATATAGTTTATGTATATATATATATATATAGTTTATGTATATATATATATATATATATATATATATATATATATATATATATATATATATATATATATACATAAACTATATATATATATATATATATAGTGTATATATATATATATATATATATATATAGTGTATATATATATATATAGTGTATATATATATATATAGTGTATATATATATATATATATATATATATATATATATATATATATATATATATATATATAGTTTATGTATATATATATATATATATATAGTTTATGTATATATATATATATATATATATATATATATATATATATATATATATATATATATATATATATATATCCCAATGGCGCCAGGTGTACAAAAGGAAAAAAAAACTCTACGCTCTAGCAAACAAACGCGGCGGGCCGACTTTGAGCGCGCGAGTACGGAACGTCAACCCGAATCACTGGCTCGCCGCACTTTGGCGCGCCGCCGGCTCGTTTGGCTGCACGCCAGTTTTCAAGCGTGTGTGTACATAATTAATAAAATAAAAACAAAATATATGGTGAATGTACCTAACATTAGTGAGTTAACCCATTCAAGCCGGGTGTCACGTAAACGTGACATGCCCACTGTGAGTTTACTTGTTTGATTGTTTTCTAATGTCTATATAATATTTATGATAAAAACCATCGATATTCATAGCACTAGTAAAAATACATTTTCCCGCCAAATGAAATCAGGTAAGGCACAGGCCTCTAGTGTAGAGATATTTCACAAAAAATATAAAAAATGAGCACAGCATTTTTCCCATTTTTTGTTCATTTTTACCCGGTGCAAATGGGTTAAGATGAGATACATACACTAGAGCTTTGATTAATGACTTTAAAGCCCCTACAGCAAACACTGTGTGCTGCTGTCATCCTACACTACAGCAAAAATTATATATCTTAGTTATCAGGTTTAGTAGAGCTGTTTTTACCCTACTGCCAATAAAAAGATACTTTTATGCATAAAAAATCTAAATATCATTTAGAAATATAACTAGCAACTCTAATTCAAATAACAACTGTTTAATATAAATATCAATAAATCAAATACATTAACAATGATTTTAACTTACTTGCTCCTGATTGAAAGTGAAAGGCTGCTCACAGAGAGCACATTTCTTTACCCGCAGGACACATTCTGAACTCAGATGCTGTTCCACTTCTTTCCGTAACACTGTTGCTGAGCATTCATTAGGGCACATGACTGGCTAGAAATAGGAAAAGAAAGCTATTCATGTGATTCTTTGTTTCTATGTTGTAGAAAATATTTGTACATGAAGATTTGTATACTTAGGTTTTTAAAAATAATACATATAAACAGGAAACCTTAAGTCTATCCATTAAACATTGTTTGCAAGTTCCCTAGTTTCGTTCATTCAGATTTACTGAGTTGTCACAGACCACTTCTTCAAACCAGCAACATGAAGTGTTGTGAAATATAATCTAATAAACAGTTTTCAAAGAAAGACATTCCTATACAATGTGTGACAATAATTCTAATAAAATTATTCAGTACACTGAAGATCATAAAAAGGTATCTATTAACTAATTCTATATCTAATCTCCCAGAATGTAAAAACTGCCACTGTATACAAACTGTCAAATTAAGCATTAATTTTTTTCTTACCTGAAATGAACAAGCTTGAGTATGATGCTCTATATACATCAAGTCAACTGTTCGCCTACAGCCCAAGCCATGATTTGGACATTTAACACTAAGCTGCAATATCTCACGTTCAGCACATGAGTCGGGGAATAAATCAACTTCTGTGAGAGGAGTATTATCAACTGGACAGCGGCTACTGCTCTCACTGTTGCAAAAGAAATATAGAATTCAATGAAATTATCTGTAAACTGAGGTCACACAAACATGAGTAAGCAAAAACAGTCATCTGAATTGTTACATAACACAAAATATTTCTCAACTCATAATACCTCATACAGTTGAAGATACAGTCTTTACAAAAGCGGTGACCACATGTAGTTTGTATGGGTGAGCGCAATCCCAGTAGACATATGGCACACTCATACTTGGGGTCAAGTGGAGGGACAAATTCATAATCAAATCCCTCCTGCTGAAATGTTGAAAACTTATGTGAGTGAGTAGAAGCAGAAGAAAAATAATAAACTTCAGTTACAATATGTTAGAATAATACTATGGAATAACAAACATTCAGCACGTGAATATCAAAATATATTACAGCTAAATACTTCACCTACTTACACGAGACAAAATTGTGATAGATTCTTCGACACTCTCCATTCTTCATGACCTTTTTCATGAGAATCAACCTTTTCACTTATGCAGGTTCTAAAAAAATAGGAAAAGTAATTAGTATCTGCAATTATGCTCAATCTTTAATAATAATATTGTCACTATTTTTCTTAAAATAAGTGCTAATGGCTGCACTATGAAAGACATACCAAAAACACATTGTAGAAAACAATTTTTGTTCTAATTGTGATAAAACTTATCATTCAAAAACAACATTGTAAAATGAAAAAATAACATCCCATCTCAATCCTGTGTAGAGGACGATGACCTAAATCCTGATATTAAAAAGAAATAACATATAACTACACAATAATCAGGTAGTTATCAACCATGGGACCCTACAATTATACATAAAAAAAAAAGAAATGCAGTCTTATAAAGGAAAAGAAAATGACAGAGGTAGACATCTGCTAACTTCTGCTAGTGCACTGAAGGCTTGGAAGGCCATAATAGCTACTTGAAGGAGTCTACAATCAACAATTACTAATTATACCAAGGATAAAAGAAGCAAACAGAACAATATATTCTATTATCACACTGATTAATTTGCAATACTTATTCAAATTACAAAACTTTGCTGTTTGATACATATGGATACTAACTGTGTTTTTTTATATTTTCAGAGAATGAAAAGTTAACAGCATTTATATTCCAAATGTCACATCCGAAGCAACCTCAATACCATGGTTTCCTTCCACTAACAGCCTGAAGGGTCTTGCCAAACCTAATTTACTCTTTTTTTACTCAGTCCAAACCATAATCCTACCATAAGTCTAAACCTACCCTTTGCTGATACAACCTCCACTATCCACATTGGTAAAACATACTGATACATCTGCTGACACTCAAAAGCTTGTTGAGATCAATACACCTTCAGAACTTTAACAAAGACTAAAAATCCTCATTATATATATTCTAGGGCAATTTTTTTATGACAAGATATTTCAAGATTTCTTGAAACATCTTGTTCATTCTTCTTTTTGCAGAACTTCTTGGTCAGATATCTTGGTCTGGTTTCATAACCAAACCAAGCACTTTCAAACTAACTCAAGAGGAAGCTTGCTACAATTTTATAATGTCACCTTAGTAAACAAACCATCATGGCCAAAATTATTTATTTATTGAAGATTTTCTGCTGTGTTAACATCTATGGTCATTTGCAGCATATTCAAAATATGGCAATAGCATAAGGCTTAGGGGCAAAGCCCCCGGGTAAGGAAGTGCTATATGACATCAAAGGTCATATGGCACTATGGTAAAGTATAGTACCAGAAAGGGTTAGGAATGAGCTAATGATTAGGATAAAGTTACAGGCTGAACAGCACTAGAGGGTAGTAAGGTAGTGGAAAGAGTAGAGAGGGGAAGCTGAATGGATATAGTAGAAGGTGATGGTTGTTGGGAGAGGAAGGAGTTAAGGGAGTAGGGAGGATTATGATAAGGTATTGTGGCCAAAACAGCAAAAATTAGTTAACAATTAGGATAAGTGGATAGAACAAGGGGATGGATGGCCAACATCTATGAGCAATTTTGACAAACATTTGTTATATTTCTTATCTTGCTGTCAATAGGTAATATTATAAACTACCAAGTTGTGGTCTTATCTGTGCCAACCAGATGCCTTAACTGGAGTATATTAACCCATTGCCGCTGGGGAAAATGAACAAAAAATGGGGGAAATGCAGTACTCATTTTTTATATTTTTGTGAAATATCTCTGGCCATAGATGGCTCTGCTAGTCCTGATTTCACCTTTCCTTGAATTGGCAAGAAAAAACGTATTTTTACTAGTGCTATAAATATAGATGGTGTTGTTTTTAACAGCACATTAGGATAACGTTAAATATTTTCGTAAATCGATGAAAAGGGTGAACGGGCGAGACAGGCAGTACTGCAATTGGCTCATTGGATACTTAGTACAAGTGTAGCCATCTATGTGTAAAAACAATCAAACAAGTCGACTCACAGTGGGCATGGCATGTACGTAGATGCCATCCCCGGTGGCAATGGGTTAATAGTTTTATTATTCTCTAGAAAATATATACTAGATACTTATAACTGAATTAATGGTTATCTTATTGATGTTTGAAGAGCTTTTTTATTTGCCTTTGTTATATTCATTCTAACCTCACAGTCTGAAAGACATTTTAACAGCAGATATTCTTTTAAACTGCTATCCTAAAATGTGTGGTCAACTTTTTATTTGTCAGTGGCAGATTTAGGAGGGGGGCAACTGGGGGCAGTTTCCCCCCCCACTCACTGCTCTGTAACTGGTCTGGTGCCCCTTGTTGGAAGTGCGGTGCCCCTTTTCTATGAAATGACATTTGATATACTGACGGAGGATCCTCATGGGCTTCATCGTTCTCGGATCATCCCAAAACGAAACACATAATTGTAAATTATCATTCTGACTGTCAAATCATTATAAAACCTAGAATGACAATCTTTCTCTTTCGAGGTAGTGGCAGGGTATAAAAAGTAGCATGGCTAAAACTTTCCTTAAACAATTTTCAAACCACTCAAAGTGAGCATGACCTACGGTGTAAACTAAACTGATTTCCACAACATATCAATCAATTACCGAAGGTTTATAAGCACACCCCTTTATCAACTGCCCCCCCTTCAGAATAGTTCTGGATCCACCCTAGCTAGTTATTCATAACCTTTTGTGCCACATAATTATGTAATTTTTTTTTAATAATTAAAAAATTGATGCAAAACAAAGGTGAGGAAAGAGTGCCTGAATTCTCTATCATTACTAACAGCATCCAGTCTGTCTTCTTCCACGATTACTCATGTCACCAACAGAGGGGAATGAGTTATCACGTATTGCAGTAATTCGTTTACATGGATAGCAAGCTACAAGTTTCTTGTCAAAAATACACCTCAGGCAATATAAGGACTTTTAAACATCTTTAGCAATCATTCACACAGGCAGCCAGTTTACAATATATATAGTACATGGCAAAGGCTTATTTTATTATCTTTTGTCAGTGAGCCAAAGTTGAGCAGGCCATGGCAATCATATGGGTCACTGAATATGTATCCCTAACTTTAACCCTACTGATATTAGGTCCAGAAAAATAAAATCACGTAACATAAGAATGGTATATATCATGATCTGTCAATGCTTTGTGAACTCATTAGGGCTAATTTGGGGGTTGCAATAATTTTTTAAATGACCAGAAAAACATTAGTATCTTCTTGATCCTCTCCAGTATCTAATAAGGTTGTGGAGGTCCTTCTTTAGCTTTTAATTGAACACCAACTGTTCTTAGTAATATTTACCAGATGATCTTTAGCATATATTACAGAAAGAGGTAATTGTCTAAAACAAGGCCTAAGCAAACACAGATGAAAGTACAGTAAGTCCCCAACTTAAGAACATAATGGGGACCAAGAGGCTGTTTGTAAGTTGATTTGCTTGTATGTCAAAAGTCGGGTCTCCATTACCTTTTTTCCCATTATTTTAAAGTTTTGTTTACATTAAGAATAGCTGTAAATAAATCCCAATAAGTATGACATACCTTATACAGTACCAGACTCTTGAACTATATTCGTGCCCGGGAAATTTGAAGTTTGCTAGCATCTTTCAAACAATTTTTTGGACTTTAGTATTCTAAAAAATTTGTTTGTATGTATGGAATGTTCATAAGTAGAATGTTCTTAAGTAGGGGACTATCTGTATAGTGTGGCTATGAACACAAATTAACACTATACACAAAATTGCACACAGTGCAGGGAGAGCCAAAATTGATTATCAAACACTGCTGATCTATGCTTACTTGAGAGGTCTTGTAAAGCCAAGACTTCACACTGGTGACAGCAAACAAATACCCCATGCATGTAACGTATCAAGACTTGCTGACTGACTGTCAAAGAGGCCTCAGCATGTGGTCCTTTTCTAAACTGTTACTAAAGTAATAACCCTATTTAATACAGAAAAAGAAACTAACAGGGCTGTCAATCCCAAGGTCCAATGAGCATTTTTATTTTTGTCAAATATAACCTCTATACACTAGAAAAAAAAATCTTCAAACAGGCCAGTCTATTTTATAAAACATAAAGTTCAACACTGACGAAAGCAGCAGTGGTAGATTTAGGGGGAGGGCAACTGGGGGCAGTTTCCCCCCCTCTTGCTGCTCTGTAACTGGTCTGGCGCCCCCTGTTGGAAACACGGTGCCCCTTTTCTATGAAATGACATTTGATATACTGACAGAGGAACCTCATGGGCTTCATCGTTCTCAGATCATCCAATAACAAAACACATAATTGGTAATTATTATTCTCACTGTCAAATCATTATAAAACAAATCATTATAAAACATAGAATGACAATCTTTCTGTCAAGGTAGTGGCAGGGTATAAAAAGTAGCATGGCTAAAACTGTCCTTAACCCATTGCCGCTGGGGAAAATGAACAAAAAATGGGGAAAATTCTGTACTCATTTTTTATATTTTTGTGAAATATCTCTGTCCATAGATGGCTCTCCTCGTCCTGATTTCACCTTTCCTTGAATTGGCGGGAAAAAACGTATTCTTACTAGTGCTATAAATATAGTTGGTGTTAACAGCAAATTAGGATAACATTATATATTTTCGTATATCAATGAAAAGGGTGAATGGGCGAGACAGGCAGTACTCGTAATTGGCTCATTGGATACTTTGTACAAGTGTAGCCATCTATGTGTAAAAACAATCAAACAAGTCGACTCACAGTGGGCATGGCATATACGTACATGCCATCCCTGGCGGCAATGGGTTAAACAATTTTCAAACCACTCAAAGTGAGCATGACCTATGGTGTAAACTAAACTGATTTCCACAGCAACATAGTGATGGTACAATATCAATCAATTACCGAAGGTTCATAAGCACCCCCCCTTTATCAACTCCCCCCCTTCAGAATAGTTCTGGATCCGCCCCTGAGCAGAAGCACATAAATGCCCAAACAAGTGGGAATCACATACAGTGATGCAAGACCAGAAACCTTGGGATATTTTCTCCCTTCTCCGTTTCCTCGAATACCAGTTTGGCATTTAAAGAACTCCAGTGTCAGTGAGGCCTAAGGCTTCCTGCACTGCATCCCAGGCAGACCTAGTGCATAGCATTCTGCCCCCAAGTCTTGTAAAGCAAAGGACCGAGTTCCGCCTCGTGACTCACCTCTCCTGCCAAGCCCCAAGGCAGGAATTCCCCAGGCATGAGTCATGAGTCATCCGTTCACGACTCATGTAACGAAGCCCGAGAGGGAGGCTCACCTGTTGATTGCCCTTTCCTAAGCGACATATTGCACAGCTTTATTAGAGAGCACAGCCTGCCGCGTCCGACCGTCACAAGTTCACAACATCCTCCAGCGGCTGCTTCCAAGCCCGAAGGACCCCCGTGACTCAGGCGCGAAGGTCGGCGCCTCCCTGTGCAGGAGAGAGCTCGGGGAACAGGCGCTCAGCTACAAACGCAAGAGAGCCAGCGTCGCAAAACGAAGTCTGTTGATTATCATAAAATATGTATGTTATCAAAAGCAATACCTTAATTTACATATGAAGTAAAATAGGCCTCCAGCATCCTTTATGAACGCATCTTACGTCAAGGAGAAAAATGGTAGAAAGCGAAATCTTTACTAACATATCTTAAATACTAAAAATAAATGGAATGCCTTTGAGTCCAACACTTCACAAATCTCACAAGAGGAAATTTCAGAGAAATCGGGAGGCCAGTCGACCCCCGGTGCAGGGAACGCCTTGTTTACATGAACTGGGCGTCGCGAATTCAGACGTGCGGAGCTGACAGGCAAAGTTCGTACGTAAGGGCTTCGTCATGGAATTGCAGGATTCCTTTTATCCCAGAGCTCAGTATATTGAGACTGTAAGTATGAATAATGAGCAGATGGGTTTTTATATATTTAGCAGAAGGGTAACGGGCAGGCGATTTCAACATGTTAAATATTGTTCTGTAGGTGGGGTCATTAATAACATAGGTTGTGGCGTATTATTATAGGATGGGACTTATTTTTGGTGTAGTTCAGGCTCACACAGCCTTATGATACAAGGTAAATTTTGCATGTAGTGTATAGTAATCAAAGAGTTTTGCAACATGTATGTTATACATTTACAGGGAAATGTAATGACATTATTAGAAAGATGGAAAAAATTACAATTGCAGGCAAAGAATATGAGGAAATGGAGAAAATATTTTGTGAATAATGATGCATAGAGAGTAAGTCCATTGCAATAGGGGTGGCAGTCCAGGGACAGAACCTCTGATTGGGAAATACGGCAAATGGGTGGGTGTTTGGAGGTGAATGGTTAGAAAGGTTTTTGATTCATATGGTGATGTTTGTGGATTCTGGGGAGTGACTGTAGGACTAATATGTATGGATACTGTTTTTCTTTACAAGAGCTACATACAGGCAAAGTAGAACATTCAATAACTGTTTGCATATTTTCATGAGTCTCATCTGTTCTGCTTAGCACTTCTGTTCACCTTTTTTTAGCTGTTTAATTTGACTGACCTGGAGTGTTCAACAGCTTTAGCTTCTAACTTTGTCCAGACCATTAAGCATATTTGCTGCCATTTTGGAAAGATGGGTTTGCAGATACAAAGAATGGGGTCAGTGCAGATTTTTAAGCTGTATTCAAAATTACTAACTGTATTTGTGCTACATTTTTTTTTATAGAGCTAGTTATCAAACAAATAAATATTCCTCCTATTAGTGAGGAGCAGGTCTGTACATTATTAATTTTATGAGAGAACAAACAAGATTTTTATATCCTTTATTTTCATCTCCAGGCCACAGGAAACCGTGTCAGCCGTGCAAGTGTGTTATGTGGATCTCAGAACATTGTGTTAAGTGGTAAAGTTATTGTGCTTAGTGGTGTGATTATCAGAGGAGACCTTGCCAATGTCAGAGTAGGACGCCACTGTGTGATATCATCCAAAGCAGTTATCAGACCTCCTTTTAAAAAATTCAGTAAGGGGTAAGTAATTAGTAAATAATGTTTCTTATTTAGTCTGGTTATTGATTTTATTTGATTTAGATATTTTTAACCTCAAAAGTTATTTACTGTCTTTAGGGACTAATTTAGCAAAGGAAATTAGTCCCTTTGATTATCATCTTATGCTACATCATTTGCACAATATGAGAAGCTTAAACAATGGGTAAAAATGAACAAAAAATGGGGAAAATGCTGTGCTCATTTTTTATACTTTTTGTGAAATGTCTCTACACATAGATGGCTCTGCCTTACCTGATTTCATTTGGCAGGAAAATTTATTTTTTACTAGTCCTATGAATATTGACGGTTATTTTTATTTACTATAATGTTATAAACATTAATAACAGCAGAATAAGATAACATAACATATTTTTGTAAATTAAAGAAAAGGTTAAACGGGCGAGACAGGCAGTACAAGTACAAGTGTAGCCATCTATGTGTAAAAACAATTAAACAAGTAAACTCACAGTGGGCATGGCACGTATATGTTTGTATCATTATCATTGTTCTTAATTTTTTTCTTACTGTCTCTTATAACCAAAATATATATGCATATGTCTATATATAGTTTTCTCTTTACCTCTGTTCTTTTTCTTTTTTTCATTTTTAGCAACAGCTGTACATTTTTAATATTTCAGAGTGGCATTTTTCCCACTTCACATTGGTGACCATGTTTATATTGGTGAGGGCTCTGTTGTAAATGCTGCAGTCATTGGCTCATATGTCTACATTGGAAAGAACTGTGTTATTGTAAGTACTGAACAAACTTCTTTCTTGTGTCTGTGCATAGGTTTTTCTCACTGAATAGATATGTGTATGTATATTCATATTCACTCTGTTGAAGAGCAGGTTTGCTCTGCTTATATAGTTTTTATTGAGAAATATCAAATTTCAGGGACGCCGTTGCGTGCTCAAAGATTGCTGCATGATTGCGGACAACACAGTCTTACCACCTGAGACTGTTGTTCCACCATTTGCAGTCTACAGTGGTTCACCTGCCAAGCACACAGGAGACTTGCCAGAGGCTACCCAAGATCTTATGACTGATTACACTAAATCATGTTATCACCATTTCATCAGAGTCAAAGATATGCCACCACAGGCAAAGGAAGGAACGACAAAGCTTATTGAAATTTAGGTGTGTTTCATTGATTTCTCAGAAAGCGGATGAGTATTTAAACTTGCTATCATTGTTAGGGTGGAGGGCAATTTTGTGACAAGTGATGAGCACTGCCTTATATTATGTAGGGGCCAAATTCTTTCATTCTTTCTTTCTTTCTTTTTATAATCTTAAGAAATAAATGGATCCCAAGAAATTAGTGCAGTCATACTATAATGAAACTAGGATTCACTCCTTTTACATCTCTTTGCTTATTGTTGTTTTCTTGTTTATTCTCTTTGCTCATGTATTATTTCCATGTAGAAGGTATTTTCAGTGTTGTAAACATAAGGAAAATTTTGTATTCATTGTTGGAAAATTAATAACAAAAATGCATTGCAGGTATGTACAGAAAGCTGTTTTTTTGCTTCCCTGTTTCCTCGAAGCAAAGGTATATTATCCAGCCTGAATTATGGAACTTCAGTTGAACTCATTGAAGAAGGGAATATATCTGCAGTATACTATTTATTTCATATCAGTTACTTAGCATTTAGCAAATGTATAAATTAAATTATGGTATGTTTACATTTAGCAGGGGACTATGATGTTTGTTGGAAGTTCTTTACAATTGGATTGCCTAAATATATTACTAGGGGATTTCTGTGTCTACTATTAATAGGAAATGCAGTGTATGTCATTCCAGTATAATACTGACTACATTGTGAATATTATTATTTTAGAAGCTTTAAATATGGATTATGTTTTTTTTTATATAGAAGAATAAAAAGAAAATCAAAAAGATAAAATTTTAATTATCACAAGTTTATCTTCTACAGTCGGATTTTATGGGTGGGTAATAGTAATCAATTTAAAGGCAGTTGTAAAATGCTATGAATATATAGACTTTATTAGGATTGTTATTAGTTATTACAAACCTAATTTTCAAGCTGAGTAATGAAGTGATATATATCATTATGTGCTTGTGTATGTTAAAATAAAGCAAGTAATGGCATATGTTGTTTCTTTAAAAAATGCTAAACTTGCTCTTACTGTTTTATCAAGTCACACCTCTGTATTGTACCAAAGCACCTTTTTTTTAAGCCTGTGAGATAACATTAATTAGTAAATTTGTTCCATATTCTCAGTTTTCACACTAGTAGGGACTACCTTAGCCCTGTTCTAGATGTTGCAGAGCAGTGCTCTGAATAAACTTTTATAAAGCTGGAAGTAGTATATATGTAACCAGTTGTTTTAATATGAGGATACACAGTAATTTGGATGCCACACTATGCTTGGGAATGGCTTAAGGAGTTCACTGCCCACATGTTCTAGACACTATTTGAAATTTTATATTTTGTGCACTATATATAACACAAACTTCTATTAACTGTATTATATATATATAATTTCTCCTGAAGGTGTTCACACAAAAATCTTTAATTCTCTTTATTTTTATTGAATATTACAATTTACAGATATTTACACATTTTTGAGTTGTAGACCCTAACAACTGAAATTGTATATACAGTACTTCCCCACATAATGAGTGGTTACATGTTTCATTAATTACATCTATTCCAAGATTTCTTCTGACTGCGGGATGGCATATATTAATTATGTTTACACAATAATGGCTTCCCAAGTGCTTAGTTACCAAGAAGTCAATTGCTCATCCAATCTATCTCACCTGTTTACTGTTTTCCTTGATTTCTGGAAATATTCCTTTATAATATATATATTGCCATTATTTTTTAAATAATAATGCCATAATCATAACACTAATATTTAAAGCATTAAAAATTAAAAAGAAAAACGAAACTCAAGGAAAGAGGAAATCACATGAGGTTAGGTAGGCTTACTCCTTGGTAGCTGAGCACTTAAGCCATCCATTAAAGGGTTAAATAAACAAAGAAACCCATCAAATTGGCATTTTTGAATATTACATGCTATTAAAAACATAGCAAAATAATATTTTTTTCATAAATACATCAGATTTATTATAAAAATAGGCAGTTATAAAAGTCAACAAAGAGCCATTCCTGAGAGGGCCATCTGTCTTTTTATCTGCAGACTTCTTTCATCAGATGCTAGGCAAAATAATTCAGGTTGCACAATATGGACAACATGAAATCCATTAGCCTCCAATATTCTTTGTTCAAGCTTTATATATCCTTTCAAACGATAGCCTGGTCCCAAAACATGTGATGAACCAATGTCCATCAATGCAATCCTGGAAAGAAATTCATGAGAGATTAGAGACCATTTCCTGTGTTGTACAAAATGTATCTTAGTCAATACAGGAACATTACTCAACCAATGTAAACACCTGTACTGAAATACCTTTTTGTGTTGTCTGGTATTTGCAGAGAACTGATACTGACATTACCAAAGGCATCAGGGTTTTTCTGCTCGATTTTAACAGTATTTCCTTCATCATCAATTGCCAAAAGATGGTCTGGAAGACAAAAAAAATAATAAAATAAAAAATAAATAAAAATCAGAATAAACATTACACTAAGGCTGTTATTCAGCAATTACAAATACTGCAAAATAAAATCATTCCTTCCCTAAACTCACCTATATAAATATCATTGTTTGTGACCACACTAGACACAAGATGATCCGGACTGTTAAGAATTTGATGAAGTCTAACTCTCAGATCTGATTTTGAAGGAGGCCGTTCTCTTGCAAATGTCCTTGCTTTTTGCAAGTATTTCTCTGGTATTTGAAGAGAGTTCTGACCAAATGTTACCAATGCTTGATGTATTCTGAGTAAAATTTTGTACTCTGAAACGGGCACCTTTTTTGTCGACATATATCTGAAAGACAAAAGTTCATCCTTAATCAGTTATTCTAGTAATCATTTATGATAGTCCTGAATCTCTCAAGAATCAGTAATGTGAATATTTCATTGCTTCAAGGGTAAGAATCCAACTGAGGCATTAGGGAAGAAACAAAGTTCTCCAGACCTAGATGAGTACTTACACCTCAAGGAAATCTTGATTTGTCAATAACTCTAGCAACTGCATATGATGATAATCTAAGGAGAGCAATTCAACTGCCAGTTTTATCCAGGGCCTCTTGAAATAATTTTCCTGATGGATATTATTAAAGTACAAGTATTAAAGACAGAAATAATTGTGATGCAGCAATCACTGCTTAAGTATAAATATAAAGAAGCCCAATCAACAAGACAAAAAAATGGTATAATTTTAATTTTAAAACAAAAATCTTTAGGCTTAGAAATGATGACAAATACTAAAATTCAGATTTACATAACTTTTTAACCCATTGGATCAGCCCAACATATCTGGTGGCACAGGGGGTTTTACAAAACAAAAATGAATATTACAAATATAATAAAGCTACTTATTTTTAGTTGTAGATTACCTAGAGAGATGATATGGGTGAGGTCTGTGTCTATGGCCGTCTATCAAATGACAAATATAGAATGTCAGAAAAGCAAAAAATACTTATGGAGAAAAAGGCAAAGGGTCTTGACACTATATATAAGTGCTCACGTGGGCTGGGCCTACAAGCCACACACCTGGGAGAGTCACCACTCAAGTAAGCTTAATGTTCAGATTTTGGGCCACATGCAGTCAGTGAAGCACCCAGATTCAGTGGGTTCAATGAAG